CTGATGCTGAGCATTTCTGCAACTAAAAGTCAGCTCCCAGTAATAGAATTCACAAACCGAAGTTCAGCTCTTAAGTTACCTATATTTTTAAGGAGGAGAGTTAGATGGCAAGGGTTTGGATTCACAGTACTCTGCATAGTGAGCGAGGGGATGCCTATGCCAGACTGTAGGAAATGCTGAAGGGGATGTGTCCAAAAGCCTATCCCTTTCCTGAACTAGGAAACACCTTGAAACCTTCAGCCTAGACTTTCTTGCCTGTCATCCTATTGTGTACAGATTTGTATTGCTAGTTGTGTTTATATATTTTTTCGTTAGACTTATTTGCAAATATGCGTAAGATGTATGGAGAACTGAGGATACTTCCCTTCCTGAGCAATGACTGAAATAACTGCCCCATAAATCTTACCTTTTTTCATACAGTGGCTCAGCTTCAGCAGGAGGAGTGAAGAATGTATTCTGCCCAGCCTAGCATTAGCCTGGTGGTTAGGGCACACTCCTGGGAGGTAAGAAATGGAAGTTTGAATTGCCTCAGGTTGGGGGAAGGACTGTAATCTAAGTGTCTAATTTCTCTTGAAGATACTCTAACCAATAGAACAGTATATAAAAGATGGGCAATAGCACTGACAGTAGTACTCCTTGTCCTCTTGAATAAATGTGGCTGTGGATGCTGGACTCAATGCTACCAATATATATTAGGCATGGTCTGTAAATATATATTGGATCAGGGCCTCTGGGGACTTAAATGAAGGGATGCCTAGTGTATGAATATCAAGTAGCCTTTGATGGGAGATGGGTGTTTAAATGTTCATGTCAGTCAACAAGGCAATATTTATGGGTATGCTTCTTAGCTTAACGTTAGGTGCCAATGGGATGCCTGCCAAATATGTTGGTATCTGCAGTGTCCTGGACACATCAGAGGCGTAGATTTTTGTGAGTTGTTCTTTTAACTTAGATGCTTAAATTCAACTGAAGTTCTATTTTAGATGCCTGTGTTCTTTTGTGAATCTTGCCTTTAGCCTATAGATTATCCATATTTCAGTAAATCAAAACTATCACAGATTTTGTACAGTGAAGCCAGTGGGATTGTTGATTATAAAAGGAACAGGCAAAGGAGAGAACTGATGGGGGTGTATACAAATAATTGTCTGCCACATAAAAATTAGAATGGAAAAATCAAATGAATAAAGGTGAGAGAGGTAAAAACAAAGCTTGCATTTATTAACCCTCATTCACATGACCCTCTCCAAAGGTCTCTTTTCCACATTTACTGAATATTCTTGGTAGAGTCTGTTAATTTATTTTTAAGATAAAGGTTTAGAATATAAGTCAGGACTTCATGGCAGAGCCAATTTCGAGGGCATTTCATGGTGCACGTGCCCCTCGATGCTGAGTGGCAGAGAAGCCCTGCCCTTGGTAATAATTGGTGGAGAGGCCCCAGCAGAGGGAGGAGGGGGAGAGGGGCAGCCGCCATCTTATCTGCTGTCCTTCATGCTGCCAGCTGGTAACTTCCCTTCTCAGCAGTGAGGACCACTGGCTCCCACTGGGGAGCTAGCATTTTATTTTGAAGGGTTTTTTGTTGTTGTCGATTTCACAGATTTTGTGGACAATCCTGGATTTCATGGGTTCTGCAAAACTGTGAATTAATAGGTCCCTAAATATAAATATTTGAACAAAAGTGGCTTTCTAGCACAACCAAATCAAATGGCTGGTTAGGCTCCCTCGTATTCATATTCTGTAACTCTCACACTGGTCCTTTCCTTTCATCTAATGAAAGAACTATATCTAGATGGAGTGTTTCATAGCCTGTTACTTCTTGCTGGGAGTTTAATACCCTACAAACCCAGCAGACATAAATCAAGGACAGGGTGCAAAAGACACAAAATAAGTGAAGTTTATTCTAAGATAGTAGTAATAAAAGAAGTATTTAATAGATACTGAGACCACACAAGACTCATGCATAGTGTCCAGTCCTGGTGATTTGTTGTTTTTTGGAAAGCAAGAAGTCTGTAATGGAACAAAGCAAGTCTGTTTCATGACTGCTGCTTTCTACTTTAAAACAGAGTCATGCATAACATAGCTGGTGTGGACAAATGAAACATTTACAGTGTTTTTAAATTGTATCAGAATCCCACGGGTTATGCTGAATGATGTTACTCTTTAGTTCAGTAATAATAGTTCAGGGTGCCATCGTTCCCTGGGGTCCTGTGAGATCCTTTTAAGGATATCACACAATATTAGGAGTGTAAACACATGATTCACAAGATAAACCCAGAGATTTCAAGTGAGAATCAATAGTGTCAAAGCCTTCTGATCTGTTGTAGTCTTTCTGAGTGCTCTGCAACAGAAGAATTGCTCTTATTTTTTCATAGTCAGAAAACAAGTGAAAGCTAAGTGGTGGCATGTTCTGAGGGGTACCTTGACTCTAAAAAGATTGAGAACCACTGCTTTAGTCTGTCAGCATTTATACTGTTATAAATGGAGCTAAACTACTGGAACTTTAAGCCCATTTCATTCAGGGTTAAACTTACATTGGTTTACCTCCATTTATATGGTGGATGCATGTTCCTGAAAAATAAAGTTCTTCATGACCCACTTTAAAAGTGGTATGCTGCATGCTTGTTTACAGCCAGTGTCTTCTGGGGTGATTTGAATTAAGAGAATGTATGTCTGATGCACTGAAGTTGAGATGTTATTGTATGTAAGGAGCAGCTTAGAGGAAAGCATAACTGTGAGAATGGGAGAGGGAAAGAAA